CACAGGCCTGTGTTCTATTCGGGGGCAGTCCAGTCCAGTCCAGGCCGGTACCTCTGTCGGTACCAGCCAGTCCAGTCCAGTCCAGTCAGTCCGCTAGGGTATACCCCAGTAGTTGTCTGTTTCGTCCTTATTCTTCACTTCCACATTTTGGAGTACGTGCGTTGGAGTCTTGCGTGGGGAGCTGCGTTGTGCCATCTCGCTCCCCCCCTTCTTCCTCCATCTCCATCTCTACCACTAGCGGAGCACCACACCTGGTGGGTCCGCTACAAAAAAAGATAAGAAGCTAACGCAACTTGCAATCTGAGAATTTGCCCTTGACTACTATGTAGCCTGCGGCGGGAGTTGTACATCTGTCAGCTGACCTCTCAACCTTCTCGCCCCCACTTCCGAGTTGTGCGCGTCTTTCCGCTGTATGTGTGAGTCCTTTATCTCTGCCACTCTGCCCACTGCCAGTCAAACCTTAGTGAATTTTGCTAGAATTCTCCGCTGTCGGTCCACGTCATCTGGCAAGGAAAGTCGTGTTTTGTGCCATTTACATGAGATCTCTGGCTGAATCAAAGTCCTTGTCTCCACCCACACCTTCTCCCTTGGAGTTGAGAGACCTTCAATGGTTCTGCAACACCTCTCCTTTCAGATGGACCACAGCATTATCTTCCTGATCATTCCAAACCAGGTCCTCTTTGTCTTGCGGAATTGGGCAGGGATGTTAGTCCATAGGAGTTGGATGGGGTGTTCAGGACGGGGAGTTCCAGAGGTCTGATGCCCTAGCCCAGTACTCCGTCGCTTCTCTACAGAGTATTAGACAGTGAAGCCTATCTTCTGGTTCATTATCCGGACATATTACCCATAAGTCTGAGCTGTTAGGATCATTCTTATGTCTTCGGATGTGCAGCCATTGGTTGACTGGTAGTGCCACATATGAGATTAGCCATTGGAGGCTCCTGACCGGCCTGATTGATTTGAATTTTGAACGTCTTCCAAGGTATTTGTGAGATCTGACTAGCGCCCTGTCCGATTTGTTTGAGCCATCTATTTTTAATTATGGGATCCAGATCCTTAGTCTTGAGGAGTAAATTGCAGCCCAGTTTGACTGAGTAATCTTGGATGTGGGTGTTTGTTTTGAAAATTTTGTTTATTCCTGGTGTCCAGGCCCATTCTGCTGGGTCAAATTCCAACTCCTGAATTGCTGTATCCATTCTGAATATTGTTTTGGGCCAAGACCCCAGAACTCTTACTTTGCTGAGAACGAACAGGTCTAGGACTGTTCTTTCCACGTCAATGTTCAGAATGGATGCGGAGCCGTGAAGTGATGAAGTAATTGAAAAGGAGGTAGAGACAGCCAGGGTATCCGATCCCTGCTGTTTATGAGAACATTGGTAAGCTCTTGACGGTGCCAATTCCTGTACCCTGAATCCCCATTCCCCCGGTTTCCAAGTCGATGCTTCACTCAACAGCTCCTCCCAGCCTTCTGGGATGCACTTGATGACAGGTTGCAGATTCTCCTCTCGCCGATGACACCCTTTAAGGCAGGTGGCAAGTTCCTGGTCAGTCAGCCAATCTTTTTTCTCTTCATCCCACAGATGACTCAATTTCCAGATTCCGTGTTTTATACATGATAGTCATCGCATACCTCTTGGTTTAAGAGAAAGCAAGTGGTCGCTTTCATCTCTTACCCATGGGTTGCCAAATAGAGGTTGCCTCAGTACCTCCTCTTTGGACTTGGGTTTTCCTATCTTCTTCGGCATGATTTCCCACCATATCCGTAGCAATGCTATCCTATAGGGTGTAGGGGGGCTGGCTTCATTTGGATGAGCTCCTCTTCTTTGATTTCTATGGCCTGTTTTGGGGCCCCATTCCTTGTTCATCAACCAAAATAAACCGGACATGTTCGCTGGTGTAGCTGTTGGGGCCAAGCCCCTGATACTATCCAAAGCCAGTTTGTTCCATGCTGTTCCAGGATTGGTCAGCAGTTTGACGATCCATTCGACTTGTAGGGCCTTTGTTTCCTTTTTAGGGTCTATGATACCCAGGCCCCCTCTAGCTGGTTTCCTTGTGATGTAATACCATGCTATCTTTGGTATACAATTCTCTTTGTTGAGGTCCCCTGACCACAAGTATGCCCTTGCTTTGCGGTTAAGGTCCTTGATTGAGTGATCCGGAGTTGTCCAGATTGAAGCTATGTACCACATCATAGAGAAGATAGATGTATTAATGGCTAATG